TGGGTCTGAAGCACGTAGTGTTCAGTGGCCTGGAGAATGTCAAGCGCCTGACCAACGGGAAGTTGAAAGTTGGGCACTTTGATGAAAAGGGAGAAGTGGAGGAGTATTTCTGGTCCATTGGTGTCCCCATGACCAGCATCCGCGTGGCAGCTTACTTTGAGAACTTTTTCACCATATGGAAGCCCATGAAAGCCTCTGATGGAGATTACTACACCTTGGGTAAATGGAAGTTTGCAGTGAAAGTTATCTAGACATCTGCTGTCCTCTCCTCCCCCTTCCTCTTTCCTTTCCTTCCTCTCTTCAGTGGACATACATCGTTTGAGTGCCTACTATGTGCTTGGCTCTGTATGAAGTGCTGAGAGGAATACCAAACTGTCCTAGACTTCACAGAGAACTGTGACCTCAAACCTCAGTTTCCTCATGTCTAATGGAAAAGTTGGGCAAGATGACTTCTAAGGTCCCTTTTAGCTCATCCAGTTGGCCATCTCCATCAACATGGAAGACAGTCTTCTCTTGATCTGGTCCCATGGGATTCTCCAGGGATAGGTTTCAAGCCCTGTCTGCAGTCTTGTTCTGTAGGTCTGGGCTGGAGCCTGAAAGCCTATAGTTTTAACAAGGATTCCTGGTAATTCCAGTGCTGTCAGTCCACTGGCCAGCATTCCTCTGCCCTTTGGGGACATTTTCTTTGCCCATAGTTCAAGGTGGCTCTGTAGAGTGGAGGGAATATGGAAGTATCAATGGCAACAATTCAGTCCTTTTTCTTGGCACATAATTAAGATTCATCAGAGGCATAACTAGTGGCAGTCCAGGTAGAGCTGAGCCAGGAGCACTTGCCAGTTACAGACGACCTGGGTAATAGTTGAACAAGTGATGACATAAATGTATAAATGTGATACATAGCTTTAGCCCCCACCAGGTTTTAGAAGCCAGCTCACTGACATCTCCCTGGTCTTGAACTAGAACATTATAATTGATCAGTTACAGTGTCCTGGGTGAAAAGATGATGCCTTAAACTTCTCTTACCCAGTCCCATCTGAGGCCCCAGAGTCTATAAAACGCAGTATCTCCACTATAGGAATAGCTAACATTTACTAGGGGCCCAGCACTGTGCTATTTACCTCCATTTTACGGATCAGGAAGCCGAGGCACGGACAGATAAAGTAACTGTCCCAAGATCACTAATAGGACACGGACCCAGGCAGTTTAGCTCCGGAGCTGTATTCTTTACCACTGTCCCATAGCTGCTTTTAATCCCATCCCAAGACCTTCAGTCCTCAAAAACAAAGTTCAGAGTCAGAACAGACTTGACTCTGAGTGCCTCAAAAAGCTCAAACTGCTTTACAAACATAAAAATACAATTATAATTTAATCTGAGGAGTGAGCAAACAGTTTGCCTATGAAGAAATTCAGGCAGGAAACTAATTTTGCTACAAAGTAGCATTGAGTTCAAAATGTCTATTAAACAGTCAAGGATGTTGAGTAGGAAGTTGGACACATGAATCTGGAATTCAGCAGAGATGTCTGGGTTGGAGATACAACTAATCACACTTTGCACACAGCAAATACTTAGTAAATGGTTGCTCTTTAAAAAAAAAAAAATCAATACCCAGGCATAATGGTATTTTTTCACACAAAACCTTGTAACTGTATAGTTTGTGGCCACTTGGTGTTGCATTGCTTTCATAGATTTGGTTTAAATGGTTGATTAATTCAAGTTGGTAGAACCTACCAAGGATGTGATATAATTAGCTATTTGTGTCT